CATCTAACAATACCCATAATTCAGCTTGAAATGCCGAGCATAGGCCCATGTTACGATGAAAGCCTCCTAGCCACTGTCCATTACAGTCTCTGATTAAGCCTCCAGCTTTAGCCTCAGCAGTTCGTAGATCAACAGCTCCATCGATATTTGGTTTAACCGCACCAGCCGTAGGTGGTCTCTATCGTTGCTTCACGTTTAGCATGGCATCACTCATTTGGGTTCGTTTGTTTCACTGAAAACGTTTTCCGAAAAATGAAATCTGGAAAATGTTTTACAGAAATGTAAATTATTTTCCAGAAAACATTTTCCAGTGTTTGTAAGCTGAAGAGTAAACAAATCTAATTAGCTTTACATTCATAGTAGAACAAAGATTTTGATACTCGGTTATTCCTGGAAATAAGTTTCTCTCCACCATATGTTAAAATCTTGGAGAACTTAAAACAATAACGTATGGCCATATCTCATGGTTGAACGCACTATCATCTGGCATGAACACTGGAGGGGATCGACCAACTTTCTCATAGCCGATATCATCTTCTACTTCACTCCCGTTTAAACAATTGCCATTATTGATGCTAAGCTCTGAACTACCAATATATCAGGCATTTATCCTTGCTGGTTCCTTGTGAACTATTGATGTAGGTACAAAAATGCGCCTTTCAGTTATTTAGAACAGGGCTAAGAGTTAAGACAGGGCTAAGTTTTATTTAGAACAAGGTAAAAAAGGAAATCAAGTAACTTCAAATTTCCAGATAAATTGTTGTATCATGTACTAGAATAATCCAAACTTCTCAAAATGTGTGCAATCCATATTATAGCGTTAAGGAAAAAATTAGTTAGTTTGGATTTCAAGGCAGTCGAATGAGTGTTAGGAGTGCCAATCTGACTCATTACAGTCTTTTGTGAGTCCATCTCCAAGGAAGAAAAAAGGAGAGTACCTGGAGGTGTTAAGAGCCTGACAAGTGAGACAACTCCGGTTAATACTGTCATATTACAAGGAAATAATTTAACTTGGTTACATTCATGTAGGGAAGCAAATGACTAGCACAAAGTCGACAGAAGTCGACCTTAACACATTCTTTACTATAGATTCATGAAACATTGCATTTGGATCTGATCAAATTAGAACAGAAAAGGACATAGAACCAGGAGAAAGAAATTGAATCAAGTTTTTAACAAGGAAAATCAATTCAACTCAATCCAAAAGAACTAAGAAAGTCAAGTTTTTAACAAGGAAAATCAATTTAACTCATTCCACAAACAAATTCTTTACAGTCAAAACAAAACCCTTACCTAAACCCCAAATTTGCCTCCGTAACCACGGCTTTCCGATAAAACCATAGAACCAGTACAAAATAAATGAGATTATACAGTGCATAAACAATCAAACATAATTCCACGAATTACCTAAATATCTAATAACCCATTAAACACAACATGTTACATTTAAATCATTATTCAGATCAGAAGCCAAGAAGCAATTAATCAAAAGCTAATCGACAGAAAACACAATTGTAATATTGTCGAATACAAGCAGATTTAATGGATAGCAGTAGGAATCAATAGCAGAGTAATAGAGAGGAAGTACCAGAAAATGCAGAGGCGAGAGAGAAGTAAACTAAAAAAAATGGAAAATTAGAGAAGGAAAAAGAAAAGGGAGAAGAAGAAACGAGACATACCTGAGAATACGACCGCCCGCCTCGCCTGTGAGAAGGATTCCAAACAGTCGTCAGTGTGGAGCAAGGGACGGGAGAAAGAATTCATGGTGTTCTCTGTGTGGAGCAAGGACTGCAAGAAATTTGGATTTCAACTTACCCTTTTTCAAACGGTAAGTTGAAGGTAAGTTGAAATACCATGTTTAAGCCTTAGTTTTCCATTGACTGGAAAATATTTTACATTGACCTGGAGTTTTCAGCGAACCAAACACCCGAAAACGGGTAAAATGTTTTCCCCGTTCCAAATAGACCCCTAGCTTTAAAACCATCAGTCCAAGCTAGCTTTAATCCATCTAACAATGCCCACAATTCAGCTTGAAATGCCGAGCATAGGCCGATGTTACGATGAAAGCCTCCTAGCCACTGTCCATTACAGTCTCTGATTAAGCCTCCAGCTTTAGCCTCAGCAGTTCGTAGATCAACAGCTACATCGATATTTGGTTTAACCGCGCCAGCCATAGGTGGTCTCTATCGTTGCTTCACGTTTAGTATGACATCACTCCTTTGTTTTCCGCCCTTGTTGGTCTTAATGGTTTGAGCCCACTCCGCACGGATTGAATTATTTCTATCGACGACTACACCTGTTCATTAAATAAAAAATTTAGGTCATAATTTAGTTCTTCTTAAATCATAAAATTTTAATTTAATCAAAACACATTTTAATGTTAACAAATTAAATTATTCATGCCATGTTATAGTTTTTACATGTTAGTGATGAGTGTTCTAAATCGATATTATTTGCTTGTTCAATTTTCGATCTTATGGATTTAATTGCTTCTTTAGTTAGTGATGAATGCTGAGTTTCTGTTATTGTTGGCAGCCTACAGCCTTGCGCCTAGCAATTGTTGAATTAAGCAATCAATTATTGTTGGTCATTTGTAAGGTTTCCAATTAATTGTTTGATTCTATGATGATCTTGTTGAGAATTTATCTTAGAGAAGAGGATTTATGATCTGGTGGTGTTTGATTCAAGGTTGCATCCAAATGGTTGAATTTTTGTCGTGATAAAGATTTACTAATTGGTGTTTGTGGGCTAGTTATTGAGATGCTTGATTCTTGGTGAGTATGATTACTATTTTCGATTAGTAGGGGGAGATTTTAATGCTGATTTTGAGCTTTAATCCTCCATTGGAGCATTTTGAAAGTCTTGAGTTGCTGATCCAAGTTCTTTCACACTGGTCACTGTTTAATCATTGGTTTCAGTGATTGTTACTAGTTGTTGATTTAGGTTTTTCATTTCCTGGTTTGCATTACTAGTTTGTTTGCTCAAGTACTCTTTGTTTTAGTTTCATCATGGTATGTTGCTTCTATCACAAGGTAATATGAGACTTGAAACTTCACAACCAAGTGTTCATGACAGAAAATTTCTGGGGAGGGTTTAGAGTTTAACAATCTTGCCTTCCTTAACCAGACAAAATACGGTGTTTTCTTGTCCAAGAGAGGCTTCAGATTGTGCCAAAAAGCTTGTAGCTTAACCACCTTGCTTCCACCAAAAAGAAAGTCCGAATTAGTGAGAAGAATAACAATTTTGATTCATGAAGAAATTTCAAATGAAAGAATGAGAAAGAAAAGAAAGGTGGATAAAGTAGAACGAAAAAAAGCATAACACTTTCGATTCTCGATGAATCACCTAAGTAAAAGGAAGAGATCTTTTAAGGATCTTTAGATGGAAGAGTGAAGAAAGAAAGACAAAATGGTGAATGAAGAGAAAGTATATTTCTTTATATAGAACCAGCTCTTTCATTTCTTGGTTGAGAACCAATAGCTCATTGCAACACTTCGTTTGTATCTTTTATTCAAGAATCATCTACAAAAAAAAAATCAAGAACTTGAAGAAGTAGGGTGAATGTTAGAGTATAAGATTGATTCAACTATAATTAGTTAATTAGTTAGATTTGTTAATAGTTGGTTATGGTTTTGGATTATATAAACCCAATTGTTGTGAGTGAGCTATTAGGTTGTATTGCAATTTACTTCATTCAAAATATAATTTTACTGTTTATCTCCTCTATATTCATCCTAGTCAATTACTAAACCCTAGACGTTTACATTCTTCATCACCGGTAATCTTCGGCCACCATGGCACCTTTCTCACATCCTCTAACCAAACACTAAGAAATAAGGAAAATATTTTCCGGAAAATATTACATGAAACAAACAAACCCTAAATGACTATTCTAAGTTAATTTAAAGATGATCTTTTAGCCATGGCATCAATGTAAATGCACCTCGCTGCAACTAGATGCAAGACCATAAGCAATACCCAACTTTTCCTGAAGAAATAAGTAATCCCAACATTAGTATCAAACCACATGCACTTCATGATTTAACTACAAGGGGATAACAAAGAAGCAATAGTAGCATTCAGAAAATAAAACACGATTTCAACTTTGATAGTATTTTTAAGTGGAAAATACTAAGATTTGAATATAAATTATAAAACCACAATCAATTTAGGATTTATATTGGATTACATTTATTTTAAATTGGGAGGAAGAATTAAATTTCATTACCTCTATCTTACCACGACACCTTCTGTCAGCTATTCTTTTTTTTTGCTAGTGCTGGACTAATATCAGATTCACTGCCTCCTGACATTGGTCGAAATGAAGCTTCAGATGTTTCGACTTGAGTCCTATCATTTTGAGCCTCCATTGGTTCAGCGTTTGTAACAGAGAAAGGGATCTCATTGAGCAGCTGATTTATCCATTCGCTGTCGTCGTTGGCTTCATGTTGCGTCTCTGAGGTAAAAACTGAAGCGGCCTCATCCGTCATGTTTAGTCAGATGCATAATTTGCTTGAGGATCTTGCAGTACTCCTACATTAACTACCAGAAAAGGAGTTATTGAATTCTACTGAATTTCTGAAAATAAATGCTCAAGCTTCTTGATTGGGAATTAGTAAAAAAAAAACACTTTGAAGCCAATAGATGAAATAATGCTTACTTGACTACAAAGGGTAGCTCAGCAGAATCTTCCTTTCCTGCAGTAGTTGAAACCTGAATCCATCTTTGACCAGCAAACTATAATGGCAGTGATGTTTAATATTTCATTCCTTGAGCTCGTCGTTTGAAAACCACCACATTCATCAATCGCTTTAAAGTTCCTTTTCTTCTTTCCTCACGGTCATTGTTCACACTTTAAAGTCAACATACAAAAAATTAGAAATTTGTGTTTTATTTCGAAGTGATATCAACCGTAGGATATGTTGGATATGTTGGATATGATATGTTGAGAAGCAGATGTTGCTTTTCGTAAAAGCCTTGACTTTGTGCAGCTCCGAAATTATCGGGCGATTGGTGGATGTTGGTCGATAAATGTATATTAAAAAAAAAAGCTTGTGAGTTGGGAATTATCGGGCGATTGAAGTAGGTGGCTGTTGGTCGACAAATATTATATATATAAAAGAAAAAGAGGAATTATCGGGCGATTGATTGAAGCAGGTGGCTGTTGGTCGATCGATAAATATACATTAAAAAAAGCGTGTGAGTTGGGAATTATCGGGTGATTGAAGCGGATAGCTGGTTATCGATCGATGAGCTTAAGGAAAGAAGTATAAACATCATTTTGGCCTTTGGCGTCTGTTGGTTAATATAGAGAGTTACGGATTTTGGCCAAAGAATAGATTTGTGTCGAGGGAAAGGAAGATTCCGCATAGCTCTTCAGCATTTTTTTTTTAAATTCAAGTAAGCAACTAAGCATAATTTCATCTCTTGGCTTTCCCCTGTTTATTTTGAAGAAGCTTGAGCAATTCTTTACTTTGAATTCAACAACTGTTTCTTTTTTATTTTGTAGTTAATACTCGGAGTACTGCAAGACCCCAAGCAAATTCTGCCATGGAGGATTGTTCATCACATGGCTCAACTTCATCTTTTACCTCATGGATGCCATATGAATTACAATTTGGAGTCGACAATGAGACTGATGGGATCTCTAACCCTGCTATAAGGGGTGAACCTTTGGAATATCTAAATGTAGTCGACAATGAGACTGATGGGATCTCTAAGCCTTCTATAAAGGGTGAACCTTTGGAATATCTAAATGTCGTCCAAAGTAAGGGAGGTGGTAAATCTGAACCTACTCTAACGGGAAGAGAACTGAAAAGAGAACGTTATGGAAGGCGTAAGAGGTTGGGAAAGTTGGAGGTAAAAGAAATCTAAATTCTTTTCATCTCAGTTAAAATGATGTAATTCAATTCAATGTAAATCCTAAATTTCAAATTTTGAGTATCTCGAACCTAATATTGCTTTTATCTTGGATACCCAAGTCCGAACCTGTTTTGTTTTCCTAGCATGTCAATTTTGCTTAATCTCTCTTTCTTGTTTGTTGTTGTATTCTGAGCTTCTTTGTTTTGATGTTAAGGTTGGATTTCTTACTAATTGATCTTATGTATTTAGGATCGCAGATTTGCATTGCGGACATTCAAAGAAAAGGCTGCTGTTATGAGAGAGAGACTGCAGGATGTAGAAAAATGAAACGTTTGTTATATTAGAATAATTGGAAGAGGAACTGGAGGCGCAAGGAGATGAGAATTTCGCTATGACTAAATTCTTGAGAGAGGAAATTGAATGCTCGACAAATGAAGTTGAACAATTAAGAGATGGGACTACAAGGTCAGAAGAGGAAAGAGGATTGATGCTTTCTGGTCGCAGGCAGCCTCCAAGTTTTACTCGCCAGATACCAACTGTGAGCTTCTCAAGTATTTTTGATGACTCAATATGATACTTTGGTTATTGTTTTTCAATTCCGTTCGCTGATATTCATCACTAATATTTATTTAATTTAACCTCAGAATTTGTAAAGACACATTATAACCATTGAACGAGACCATTGTAAACCTATTTGTCTTCTGTGTTTTGCAGGATCTGCATATCATTGGAACTAACTCTGAATCTTTTGATAAGGTATGGCATATTTCTCTGAGCCTATTGGTCTTGAAATATCGAATGCTTCAGCTCAAATTCATCTTATACATTATAATTATTAATTCTTTTGTAATTGCAGGATCGACGTGGAAGTAACTTTGAAACTTTTGACAAGGTATGCCATATTTTCCCTACATTCTACTGGGTTTGAAATGTATAATGCTTCAACTGGACTTCATCTTTGCACTCCAATACCTCTGATTAAAAAATATATTAAGTTTTTAATAGAGGTTGTAAATTTCGATAAATACATACAATCTTATCAATATTTTTTGCCCACTCTTTCTCCAGTTTTCATCAATGGAACATGCTGCATTCCATTCCATATCAAGTTGTTGTGCAAACGGAACTGATATTCTAATGAAACTTGAAATTGATGATGAGAGCAAAGTGAAGTTATCAGACTTTGCTGACTTAGGTGGTGAGCGGATACCAATAGGCAAATATAGCTTCCCGCCCTCACTACATCAAATCGTACAGAACATCACTGAGGTCTATGGTGATGTTTCTGCAGCAAGTAGACTTTGCTGACTTAGGTGGTGAGCGGATACCAATAGGCAAATAGCTTCCCGCCCTCACTACATCAAATCGTACAGAACATCACTGAGGTCTATGGTGTGTTTCTGCAGCAAGTAGGATGAACTTGAGTATTGCCGATGGGATCTACATAATGTTCTGTGCTTCAATTAAAGAGATGAACCATCTCCGCCTCGAACAAGTCACCGAAGATATGATATTGAAGTGGAGGGATGCAATCAAGGATTTTCAAGGATTTTGCAATGGAACATTTGAAGAAAGCTGCACGCGCTTATATTGGTTGAATGGAGCGCCGAAAGCTGGATTATATAGCTTCCAGGTTATCCAATTTGGAGGCTCAATCGAGTGATGAGAAAATGAAGCATTCTAAGCTACCGGAAATGACCAACGAAATGTCCAAGGAATAACGGAAGCTGCAGAAGAGTTCATTGGCAAGACGTCAGCTCGGGTATGCTTCGAGACTCTTTCTACTAAGGGCGTGAACCTGACTATTGTATGTTTTGTTAGTCTTCCTGCTGTGGGTGTGAACCCGACTACTGTATGTCTACTATGGAACTAGACATTTTTTTTATCAGAAAAGTTTATTTTTATATCATAATTCTTTGAACTGAATATGAAAATCTATGATACCAAAATATTACACGGTATAAACATGATACAATAAAAAATGTTTTTAATACATTAAAATATTCAAACTTATAGCATAAATTAATTAATAAACCACAATTTTACATCCCAGCTTTTCAAAAATAGGGCCAAGAAACAGAAGCAACCTAGACTATAAAGATAGGGTAAATGAAGGGCGAAGGGGCTGGGGCGGTTGGAAAAGAAACTCCGTGCTTGTAAAATGAGAGAAAAAATGCTGAGCTTTTGAGTTTTCAAGTCACGGAAGCATAGCACGGCTATAAAATGTAAAGACAAAAAGAACATACACATATGTAGCCCATAATAATTGATACGTACAATATACCTGCAACCCAACAACTCGATGAATCTTTTCCAGGCAACAGTATTGTAGTAACACTAATAATTCAGTACAGCAACTTCAGCTTTACATACAACAAAAACAAACCCCATAGCATCACAACTTGACCATATTCAAGAAAGCAACATCAAACACTGCGATCCGAGCTATATCTATCCATAATCTATTGCCATTTGCAGTTCCTTGAGAGATTAACAGGCAACTGGGAGTGTGCCTGATTGTACGGGAGGGATCATGTTAATAGCTGAAGGTTTGAAAGCTGCAGCAGTTGTTTCCAGACGTTCCCACGCAAGTTTCCTCTTCTCAGCTGCTTCGATGGATTGGGAGTTTTCTTCCTCCAACTTGCGTTGACAGGCAAGCAGAAGCTCTTCATCCATCTCACTGAACTTTTTCAGTATGTTCTGCGTCAGGTTAAGCACTGTTTGATTCCAATGATTCTGATTCATCTCAAGGGACCGAAAGATGAGAGGGAAAATCACGTGGCGATTATGTGTAACAAGATCAAGGACGTGCTCGTTGTTCCATAGCAAGTGAGCTCGTTCGGCCACCTGAAAAAGTTGGAAATGGAAGGTGAAAACAATTTCATGTTGCCATCTGACCACGTAACCTCCATCATCATTTACTTAATGTCTGATCGGTAAACATTCTTCATCATGCAAGTAGGACATCGATCAACACGCAAAGAAAAAAACTAACTACACATACAGTTATGATAATAGAAATTTCATTTCTTAAAACCAATTCGACTCTTTCCCTCTAGATATACCACTCCAAAGTATCATCAAACAATTTGCATAAGATCACCGCCACGCAACCTACCAAATTTCGTAAGTTATGAATGTTTAACAATCACCGTAGCATGCTACACGACTTACAATTTATTCCTTAATTTGAAGCTCCTTAAAGAGGGAAAAGAAACAAAAGAAAAACCAAAAAATGTACTTGATATGAGGTTCTTGATCAACCAAAAACAAAAGCAATCCTGATATCGTTTAAGGTAAACATTTTCGCATAGTGATTAAATGAGGAAAATTTACCTGGTAATGGGAGCTGTTTAAGCAGCATGCAATTCGCCGAAACACTGGAACCATGATCTTTTGGAACTCAACCATGTTAGTCATCTCCAAAATCTCTTCTAACTCACTCATAAACATCAACTCCTTCTGGCTGTTTGTAATTGGCCAGTATTTTAACAGCCCCTTAATCACACTATTAGATAACTTTTGATCCTTATCTATAAACTGTGGTTCTTGATCAACCAAAAAAAAGCAATCCTGATATCGTTTAAGGTAAACATTTTCGCATAGTGATTAAATGAGGAAAATTTACCTGGTAATGGGAGCTGTTTAAGCAGCATGCAATTCGCCGAAACACTGGAACCATGATCTTTGGAACTCAACCATGTTAGTCTCTCCAAAATCTCTTCTAACACTCATAAACATCAACTCCTTCTGGCTGTTTGTAATTGGCCAGTATTTTAACAGCCCCTTAATCACACTATTAGATAACTTTTGATCCTTATCTATAAACTGTACAACACAGTAAGTTAATTGCTGATGATAAACGCCCACCGATTTTGGCTTGTGTAGCGGAATAAGAGCTCTCCACAGAAACATTTTGTGCTCCTCCTTCAATGGTATGGCAAATCCACTAATAATACTTCCAAAAACCTCCAAGAGCTCAGCAATACCATTATGCCTTTCGGTTTCAAAAACTAAACGATAGATGATATTGCTAACAGCTTTTCGCACAAAGGGCCTGTGCACCATGAATTTCCCATAAATACTATGAAGAATTGTTTTCAAACAGTCTCTTTCCCGAGGGTCCTCGGACTCAAAGAGATCAAGTAATCTCAGAATAAAAGAATGATCTACATGCTTTTTTGACACCTTTGCATCAAGAGAATCGTAACTGATAAACCGAAGAAGTAGATCATACACGAGTTGCAAATTGGACCAGGCAGGGTCAAACATCGGTTCGTCATCTTCTGCTTCACCACTGGAGGTATTAGAGCGATATTTAGGTGGAAAAACTCTGAACAGATTAATGGCACACATTTTACACATAGCAGCAACTGCTGGTTCGTTGAACTTTGCAGATCCCGAAGAAACAAAATCTATAAGCTCTATCAATGTTTGGCATTTAACATCTTGCTCGGAAGTAGCTTTGTCAAGATCACTGAAATCAGAAACCTTAGAGCATAGTTTCAATTTACTGATAAACAGGTTCTGCTTCTGTGGATTTGAGACATCCTTGAAAGACAGATTCGGCTCCACTGCTTCCACTCCAGCCATGATGCTAGCAGGAAAAACAGCCGATGAAACCCGTTTAACAACACTTAGTCGACTTGTTATACTATTCCCAATATTTGTACACTGAACTCCATTGCCCGAGTTCGAAGTATGATTGCCAGAATCAACCCCAGCTGAATCTAATGAATCGGATTTTTGCGACTTCCGTGGGAGTTTGCTTAGAATTTGTTTGATCATGATGGAAACAAAGCAACTTCCAGCAGCGTCAACTGCCTAAATCACATGAAATTAGTTACAGAGTTACTATGATTCAAGCGACTTATAAAATCCTAGATTGTATGTGAAATAGAAATGGAATCACTATGCTAGAACAGAAAAGGGAATCAAAGAACACCAAGAATTCATACATTTTCATAACAACTTAGCAAAAAAAGCCTTTAATTGCAGTATTTCAACCATACTGATATAGTAAAGGTAATAGAATTCGTGCTAAAATTCTTAATGCTATAGCCTTGTTCGACAAATACCAACAAGTAAAAATAAGTGTACTTTTTCCAAAATTTAGGAGGAACAAAAGGATTAGAATTAAGCTAATCCTTCCGCGGGGACTACATATATTCTTGCAACTAAGCTAAATTCTCAAAAGTGAGTAGTTAAGGAACATCATTTCTTCTTTAAAAGTGTAAGCATAGAAAATTTCCAACCTAAGCTAGAGTTTCTAACAATGATCAGATTCTAGAACTCAGCTTTTAGCCATAGATGGAAAATCTTTTAATATATGAAGAAAATTCAGGGAAGAAATTACCCCCAAATCACCGTGTCACAAGTGCCACCAGCATTATTCTTCAGATAGGGCAAAATAAATCAAACTAAAGCACTCACTTTGATACCATAAAACTAAAAAAAAAAAAACTAAGTTAGCCGAAAAGAAAATCATAAACTTTCATAAACAGGGCCTAACAAGTATCAGCTGCAATGTTGTGAACTTGTGATGAACTGTAAAAGAAAATGAAGAATTTTGTTTCACAACAGGAAAAGCAATATAAGCTTCAGATCTGGAAGCAAAGTACAGTGAACCACAGAGAAAATCACCAAACATCCGGCACAAATTCACCAGCTTTATGAGAAATTGAACGAAACCCAGATCTCGTTTATGCTTAACTAACAACATAAACTATCATAAGTCAGAAAGTACAAACACAAAAAATGTCATCGAAAAGCATATAAACTTAGGTAAACATTGTGACCCAAAAGGACAAACAAATTAAATATCATGCATTTAAGCCAAGAATAAAGACATAAAAGAGAAAGATTAAAAAAAACCTGGATTTGTTGAACTGTCAAAGTTAAGATCGATAGTTGGGAGAAAATATTTAAAAAAAACTACAAGTTTTTAACAAAGAAGGGCGTGAAAAAGAAGTAATCTGGAAATGGTATAGACTTTAAATAAAGACAGTATTTTGCCTTTCTCATTAGTTTCAGGGTCAAGGAAGAACTGGGTTTGAAAGTGATACAAATAGAGTAATCGATGGTTTTGAATCTCCATGAAAGATGAATAGTTGGGTTCCTCGATTGAAGAGAATGAAAGATGTGGCATTTTCCGAGTAAACTGCATTCACTAGTCATCCCACTAACAAAGTACGGTAAAATTATCTTCTTTCTTTTTTAATAATTAAGCTCTGGACCCTGTTGTTTATCACGATTAATTTACCTATCTCTTTGATTATTTTGTTCTACCTTTCCTAATTTTTTTCAATACTTTCAGTAAAACTTTGAAAACTTTAATCAACATTCATCATTTAGCGATACCTTTATTAACTCTTTCCTTTGAGTTATTTTTTTTTTAGGTAATGAAAGGAGTTCGGTAAGAAGATTTTATTTCAAGAATATGCAGGCATCAGTCACAGGTAACATCCTTCTAGCTGTTTTAGCTTAGGACATTGGTTTCTTCCGAAGTAATTAAATTTTAGAGGTCACGAGTTCTATTAATAAAATGTGTGTCGTCAATAAATTAAAGAAAATTTTAAAAATATATTATTTTATAACTTTCAGATTATTTAAAATTTAAATTTTAATAGTTAAAGTTTAATTCTTTTATATTTTATGATTTAT